GATCTTGTCTTTCCAGGACTTGCAAGTTCCCTGCCTTTTTTTTCTTTCTCCCTTATCTCTATTAGTGCTAGATAGCATCAAGATGAGTGGAGAAAAGAGTGAAGTTGTCAAAGACTTAAATTTGCTTGGATCCACAATCAACACTCACAGAAAAAGCAGTCAAGAAATCAAACAACGAATTGCAGTAAGCAAATCTGCTGCACAAGACTTCGTGAAAGTTTTCAAGAGCAAAGATGTCAGTTGGATAACTAAGTTGCTCTTGACCTGAGCTATGGTATTTTCAATAACTCCATATGCATGTGAAACTTGGATAGTGAATAAAGAAGACCTTAGAAGAACTGATACATTTGAGTCATGGTACTGGAGTCCTGGTGTGGCACTGTGGGTTAATGTGCTGGACTGCAAGGTCAGTTTGAACTGTGAGGCTGGCAGTTCAAGTTCACTAGTCGCTCCTTGGAAACCCTCTACAGGGTCGCTATGAGTCAGAACCAACTCAACAGTACTTAACAACAACAAGTGGAGAATAATACTGAAAATATCATGGACTACCAAAAGAATAAACCAATCTGTGTTGGAAGAAGTACAGCCAGAATACTCCATAGAAGCCAGGATGGCCAGACTTTGTCTCTCATACTTTATACATATTACCAGGAGGGCACAGTCCCTGGAGAAGGACGTCATGCTTGGTTAAGTGGAGGGCCAGTGAAAAAGAGGGGGACCCCCAATGAGATGGATTGGCACAGTGGCAGCAGCAATGGGTTCAAGTTCACAATTGTGAGAATGGCATAGGACCGGATCGTGCTTCGTTCTTTTGTACACAGGGTCACTAAGGGTTGGAGCTGAGTAAACAGCACCTAAGAACAACATCATCATCTACTAATGGAAAAAATTTGCGTTTTCCTTCTCTGACAGTTTCCAGCTTTCACAGGTCTGAGTGTAACTCTTGATATTAGTGTAGAGTGAGCCTTCTAATTTTATTCTTATTATCTTCCCTGTGCCCAATCTTTTCATTTCCATATAAATTGGAGAATCCGGTTGTCGATTTCCATAAAAATGCTTGCTGAGGTTTTGATTGGGAATGTGTAGAGATTAATTTGGGGAAGCTGACATCTTAGCACTCTAATGGCCTCTGATCCAGGTGCGTGGAGTCTTTCTCTACTTGCCTCTCCTTTTCCGTTGTCAGTTCTGTAAAGAGGTGGTGAAGTGCACTCATCGAAGCACGAACCATGAAGTAAACGTGTGAGTGGCGGGGAGCCCACACGGAACAAAGTCCCTGCTCTTGTGGATCTTACAGGGAGTGAAGAGGAAGGAAGGCAAACAAGAGCAAGGAAACAAGTAAACATATAGCATGTCACCTGGCTATTAGCTGCTATGGGGAAATGGTGCCGTTGTGGGGTGGACAGTCTTGCTCTTATATTTTAGGGGGTCAAAGCAGGCCTCACTGATGGTATCTGTGAGCGTGAAGATACTTTAGGGGAAAGCACACAGACAGAAGGAAGTGCAAGAAACAGCAAAGAGGCCAGTGTGGTGGACAGAGTTAGGGAGGAGGACTGGAAATGGTGTCAGAGTTAGAGACTGACTGGAAATGGTGTCAGAGAGCTGGGGAGAGGCACATCAGACAGACTAGAAGAACTTCAGCTTTTACTCTGAGTGATATGGGAAGACACTTAAGGTTTTTGAGTGAGAGACATGAACTAACTTCTGTTTCAACAAGGTGATTCACAACCTGAATAGGGCACTCCAGGGGTCGGGGTGGACCTTGGTTAGGAGGCTGCTGCGGGATTCCAGGCAAAAGCTGATGGTCCACGGAACCAGAGAGACTGAGGAAGAGATGGAAAACTAGTTGAAAAGGCAGATGTGCAAACAGAACAAGAGAACACTGAATGGTTTAAAATTGGGAAAGGTGTGCGCCAGGATTATATTCTTTCACCATACTTATTCAATATATAAGGAGCTCTGGTAGTGTAGTGGTTACAAATTGGGCTGCGAACCTTAAGGTCAGCAGTTTGAAACTACCAGCCGCTCCGTGGGAGAAAGATGAGGCTTTCTGCTCCCATAAAGATTTACAACCGCGGAAACCCTGTACAGGGTTGCTATGAGTCGGAACCAACTCGACAGCACATAACAACAGCAACATTCAATATATATGCTGAACAAATAATCAAAGAAGATAGGTTACATGAAGAAAAACATGGTATCAGGATTGGAGGAAGACTCATTAACAATTTGCAATACACAGATGATACAACCTTGCTTGCTGAAAGTGAAGAGGACTAAAAATACTTACTGATAAAGATCAAAGACCACAGCTTTTGGTATGGGCTGCACTTCGAAGTAAAGAAAACAAATATCCTCTTCACTGGACCAATAAACAATACTCATACAAATGGAGGAAAGATTGAAGTTGTCAAGGACTTCATTTTGCTTGGATCAACCATCAACACTCATGGAAGCAGCAGTCAAGAAATCAAACAGCATATTGCATTGCACAAATCTGCTGCACAAGAACTCTTTAAAGTGTTGAAGAGCAAAGATGTCAGTTTGAGGACTAAGGTGAGCCTGACTGAAGCCATGGTATTTTCAATAACCTCATATGCATTCAAAGGTTGGACATTGAATAAGGAAGACTGTAGAAGAATTGATGCATTTGAGTTATGGTGTTGGAGGAGAATACTGAAAGTACCATGGACTGCCAAAAGAACAAATAGCTCTGTGTTGGAAGAGTGCTCCTTGGAAGTCAGGATGGCCAGACTTTGTCTCTCATACTTTGGACATATTGTCAGGAGGGACCAGTCGCTGGATAAGAATATCATGTTTGGTGAAGTGGAGGGTTGCATAAAAAGTGGAAGACCCCTAGCGAGATGGATGGGCACAGTAGCAGCCATTAATGAGGTTGGCCCAGGACCGGGCAGTGTTTCATTCTGTTGTGTGTAGGTCTCTATGAGTCGGTACTGACTTGATGGCACCTAACAGCAACAACATCAACCTCAGAGGACAGCTGTGATCCAGCACTGAATCACAAGGTCGTTTGAACCACAAGGTCAGCAGTTCAAACTCACCAGCCACTCCTTGGAAACCCCATGCAGGGTTTGCTATGAGTGGGAATATCAGAGCAAGGACAATAACAATATGAAGAGAACAGCCTAAGCCTGGCCCACACCAGACACTCCAAATAGGTTCTCTATTCTGATGCCAAGGATTAGGTAGATGCCATCTTTATTTATTTCATGATGTCTAAGCCTGCCCTGTTACCTTGCCCATATTGTTATTGTTAAGTGCTACTGAATAGGTTCCGACTCATAGTGACCCTGTATAGAGGTTCTGAGGAGCAACAGGTGGGTTTGAACTGCCGACCTTGTGGTTCAAAGTCCAGTACAGATCCTACAGTGCCACACCAGGAGTCCATAGCCATATTTGTTGTTGTTAAGTGCCATCGAGTCAGTTCTGATCCATAGCAACCCTGTATAAGGTTTTCAAGGAGCAGCTGGTGACCTTGAACTGCTGACCTTGCAGTTTACCCATACCACCACACCAGGTGCTCAATAAATGTACAAAGAAAGAAGGAAAGAAAAGCAGGAGGGAGAGAGGGAAGAAAGGGTATAACAAGGGCCAAACTGCTGTCTGAATTCACAGGTACTTGCCTAACTAACACTCATTCCCACATACCTCTTGGTGATCATGGTTAATCCAGAGGAACAGTTATAAGTGCTCCTGAAATCATAATTACATGGAGTCCTGGTGTGGCGCTGTGGGCTAATGAGTCAGACTGCAAAGCCGTTTGAACTGCAAGGTCAGTGGTTCAAGCTCACCAGCTGCTTCTTGGAAACCCTATACAGGGTCACTATGGGTCGGAATCGACCTGACGGCACTTAACAACAACAACAAAGCTAGGAATTAAAATAAAAGTTCCTGTGTGTCCAGGAGCCTAAGGAAAAATTCTTTTACTGAGATGGACATATAGGGAGTTCTATGACTTTCAAGGTGTTTAAAAGAGCATGCCGTTGCTGTTAAGTTGCGTTGAGTCAGTTCTGACACATAGCGACCTAGGGTTTCCAAGGAGCGACTGGTGAATTTGAATCGCCGACTTTGCAGTTCAAACTGACCTTGTGATCCAGTGCTTATCTTATAGCATCACACCATAAAGACTCCTACTTTATCTCTACCCATATGCTGAGGCCGGAATGAACTGGCAATAGCTACCCTATTACGCATCAGGAAGCACCACGCAGAAAGGCTGAGTGGCCTGCCCAAGGACACTGGCACTGGTCAGTGGCCTTCTGAGCTAATTCAGGTGGTTTATTTCTCTAACCATTGCCTGCTGAGATCATGTGGGCTTCAGTAAGCATGCCTGGCATTTCCATTCCAACCTACTTGCTCTAGGACCTGGAGCAAACCCCTCAAAACTTCACAAATCTCCTTCATTGTTAGTATGAGGCGTGTATTTATCCTTGTGTGAATAAAGATCCTACCCTGGTGCTTGGAGCACGGAGATTCTCAACATGAGTCCTGGTCATCCCTACATCTGCCTCATGTAATTGTCCTAACCCTTACATTCATGCTGTGATTATCTGAGACCCTGTTAACAGGAACATTAGCTTCATCTTTTCTTTCTGTCTGTCTTGAATTTCTGTGAACACATTCTCAGTATAGCAAGGAAAACTGCGTTAGGATGAAACAGACACAGCCTTTGACATTGCTCTTGAGCAGAAAAAGGAAGGACTGTGTTGGTCAGAAGTATATTCTAACAAGCCAAGAGACACCCAAAGACTGGTGTGCAAGCCGGTGCCCCCAACTCCCAGAACCACTTGCAGCTGCCACCCAGCAGGGCTATGGAAATCACAGAACAGAAGTAAATCAGAGTGGGTGGGGGAAAGGGATTTGGCTCAGGGTCAGGAAGCAGGCCAACTGGAAGATTTGGCTGAGCAAGGGCAATAGAGCGGACTTCAAGTTCCTAGGGGATTAGCAGAGAGCCTCACCTACTGTCAGGGAAGTAGAGTACCATGATAGGACCACTGGTCTCAGAGATCCTGGACGTGGCAACCAGTGAGGAGCTGACAACGCTGTGTCTGCCCAGCAGCATAGTACATTTGTGAAGGGGACACAGAGGTGGTGAGCTGGAGTTAGCAGGCCCAGGCTGAAAACCCAGCCCTGCCACTGGCTAATTTTGCATAGTCTTGAGTAAGCATGCTTTCCCCCAACTCAAGTCCCCATCTGTGTGGTGGGGATCACAGAAGGGTCTCCCTCACTGTGTGGTTGTGAGAAGACAATGTGAGAATCACTAAAAGGCACAGTCTCTGGCACAAATAAGCAGTCAGAAAATTTAGCTCTGATGAATAACAATATCAATAATGATAATGAGTTAAAGACCTAGTGGTATAAACAAGTAGCTCCGGTAGCATAGTGGTTACGAATCAGACTGTGAACCACAAGGTCGGCAGTTCGAAACTACCAGCTGTTCCATGGGAGAAACATGAGGCGTCCTGCTCCCGTAAAGATTTACAGCCTCAGAAACCCTATACAGGGTCACTATGAGTCGGAACCGACTCCACACTACTTTACAACAAAGGGTATATAAAGGAGCTCTGGTAGCATAGTGGTTACAAATTGGGCTGCTAATCTCAAGGTCAGGAGTTAGAAACTACCAGCGGTTCCTTGGGAGAAAGATGAGGCTTTCTGCTCCCGGAAAGATTTATATAGCCTTGGAAACCCTATGCAAGGTCGCTATGGGTCAAAATCGACAGCACTTAACAAAATAACAACAACCGTTTATAATGGCTTTAGGCAAAGCAGGATTTTTGTTAACATCTACCAGTCAGTGCTGACAAATGTGTGTGAGTGTGTGCATACGGCTGGCAGAGAGACACACACATATGCACACCTTGTGCCCAAGGTTGTGAGGATAGGAGTAAGAGAGGAGGGAGTGGAGTAAGCATCGGTAGACATGAGTGAGGGAGTCCTTAGCAACCACTCAATAAGGACACTCAATAAGGACAAAAAAACTCCTCAAATTAGCATTAATCCTGTTGCCAGCTGTATTGATTCCTGTGCCCAGTGACCCTGCAGAACACAGCAGAACTGCCCCAGAGGGTTTCTAAGTTTGTAAATCTTGTTGGAGCAAGCTGACACACTTTTTTCCCATGGCATGGCTAGTGGGTTTGAACCACCAACTTTTTGGCTAGCAGTTTAGTGCTTAACCACTGTGCCACAATGGCTCATCAATATTTACATTGTTGTTGTTGTTGTTGTTGTTGCTAAGTGCCGTAGAGTCGCTTCTGACTCACAGCAGCCCTGTACAGAATTTCCAAGGAGCGGCTGGTGGGTTTGGTAAATGGGAACTGGCAAATGGTAGCATGATTTTTTTCTTTCATGCCACATCTGCTCTGGGTCCCACAGTGTGTCAACAACAAGATGAGGGAATTACAAATCATTCAGGTGACAGGTATCCCCTTGGGGACAAGCAGCTCACTCCTGGGTTTCCAGAAAAACTACATGCAACATACCTGGGAAGGTCCATCATTCTACTAAAGCAGGGGTTGGTAGCATTTTTCTATAAAATATTTTAGAGGTGGGCCATATTATCTCTATTGCAATTACTCAACTATACCATCAGACTGCCAAGGGAGCTACAACCAATATGTAAAATTACACGTAGTCGTGTTCCAATGCAACTTAATTTATAAAATCACACTGTGGGCTGGATTTAGCCCCAGGTGGTAGTCTGCCCACCCATGTTAAAGCATCACTGAAATCACCACTCAATCTTCCTTGTCAGTGCTTTTTAACTTAGAATTTTTCTAATTGTCTTTATAGGCCCAGTGGGTCACTATCTGATCATGAATCTTCCCCCAAATGCCTACCACTAGCCTGTTGTGTTCCAACATCAATGTTTCACAAAATAAAATCACAAAGTTTTCAAATTGGCGGAGAAATGATTTGAATTATTGGTCTCATGTTAGCCCGAAAACTCTAATACTCCATGAATTTATCTTATTAACACACACACAAAAAAAAGAAAGCCAAAGAAAGAAAAATCGAAAACCAGAACTAGTGGAAATTCAAAGAGGGAAAAACACTTTTTCCGAATTGGCTGCGGTTTCCTTATTGTCAACACTGTTTGCCTTCTGTCCTCTTGCTCGGTCCCTGGTGAGGGGACCTCATATCATTTTGGATTAGCATCTGTACCTCACATGTCAGAGCCTGATAATGACTTTTCCTCATTATACCTAAGACATAAAGAAGCTTTGAAAAACAGTCAGTCATGAATGGCAACACTTCCTTGTTTTCCCCTCTCACTTGGGAGACGTTAGGAAATAATTTCCATATTTTCATTCTTCCTCTCCAGAGAATGTCTTTTTGGCTACAATGATTTATTTACTGGAGGAGGAAAAAAAAAAAAGTTTTTCCAAAGGAAACAGACAATAAAAAATAGTTTTTCTAAAGGAAATGGACAATGAGAGCTGTCCACTTCTGCAATTCCAATTTCCCTCCAACTAAGTTATTTTTATCACGCACGGGCATATTTTTTCCATTTGGGAGAGGCAGAGGTGAGCAGATTCAACCTTAATACAAGCTCAATCCAGCACTTCTCCCAGTCAGTCAGGTCTCTTAGGGTTTGCTGGGACCTGGTAGAGCAGGATTCCCAGAAATCATGATTAAAGCCCCAAGTCCTTGAACCTCTGTAGCCACAAGCAGACAACCACGAACTTCTAAAAGGTCAAAGCTGAGGCTGTATCTGCCTGTTACAATTTTGCCTCCTTCTGCACGCTTTCCTTTTTCCAAGGGTCTGATGATTCACCATTCAGGGAATCAGTGACATAAGCAATGAAAGAATGGATGGAGAAAGTTAGAACATTTGTTATTAAATAAATTCACAATGACATACTTTGGTCAGTGAAGAATTTCCAAAATAGAAATGATTGTGGTATATGGCTCGAACGGCAATCCTAACATTACATAGTACTCTTGCAGCCCCTGGCACGTAATGTTCCTATTACTTAAGATTCCTTTTAGGGGGTCCCTTTGTAAAGACTTCAGATTGTGTGGTATAATCCTGAGTGAACTCGAGAGAAATGCGATGGGCTGACAGTGTGTGGTCAGGGTGTGGACAAAAGATGTCTATAAAAATCAGCAAGAGCAGGAAAGGAGTGTTCTGAGTCATGCTCAGAGCTGAATGGGTCAAAGGGAGGGAAGAAAGACAGGGCGGTAGTGCAAACTGTTAGGCTTTGGATGCTAACCGAAGGGTTGGAGGTTGGAAATCACCAAGACGTGCCTCAGACTGTGTGCCTAGGAAGTAAAGTTGGGTGATCTACTTGTAAAAAAATCAGTCACAGAAAGCTCTATGGTGCACGTTGACATACTCAGTGTTACCATAAGTCAGCATCAGCTCGACAGCAATTGATTTTTGGTTCCTTTCTAAAGAGAAAAGTGATGTGGCAGTCCTTGGGGGAGGGGAGGAGGGCAGCTAGGCTGCAGTCAAACTGCAGGACAGTTTGCTGGCTGCAGGAGTCAGAGGTCCGAGGGACAAGGAGGCTTTTTAGAAGGGTCAGCTGTGGTGGCTTTGGAGGCCTCTGAAGACTCAGCATCTCATGTCAAGATGTCTCAGCAAAGCATGTCATTCCAAACAAGACTGAGGAGACCTGGAAGCCCATGCCCAAGGTTCTCTGGGAATGAATTCACTGGGTAACACAAGCCTTCACATTAGAAGACCAACTCAGAGCTAGGAGGCTTCAGGGGATCTGTGGACTGACCTCCAGACTCACAATCATCTGAGAGGTACAGGTAGTCCTATTTCCAGAGATTTCTAAGAAGCACATGTGCCTGTCCAAGCCTTTGCTACCCGGATGCTGACACATCACCACTGGGCCTGTCTGGTGTCCACTCTATCCCAACCCAGCCTGAGGGTAGATTTGAGGCTCCTCCCTATGGGGCAGGGGTGGCAGCCTGTATGGTTGGGGCTCCCTGGCCTGAGCCAATCTCCATTCATTCATTATGTTGATTTTTTTTTCAAATGTTTTATTGTGAATTCTGTGATAGTTTACATGGGAGAACATTAGTTTTACATTCATCCTATCTTACATCATTTCATTGCCATGGTTACAATTCCCACCATGCATCATCAACCAACCAAATATTACACCCTGCAAGCCTGCCCCCGGGTCCTCAGCATACAGCCCCTCTCCCTCTCTGTGTCTAAAGTCCCCAACAGCTCCATCTTTCCACGTCATCGTCTCTGTCTCTATCTCAGGCATCACTGTTTCTTTGGGTAGGGTCCCACTCTCTACTCTTCTCCCTTGATGGTCCCAGGGACCTCCGCTCCTAGACTGCAAAGTCAATCACTCCCCTCCTTTTGCTACAAGATCATGAGAGTTCAGTGAACCTAGCATGCATATTCACTTTTAGGAAAAAGAGCAGGAGGAACTGGAATTGCGGCAGGGATTGCGATACGTGGGTGGTGGAATAGGCATTTAGGAGGAAAACAGGGGCCACCTGGAGGCCTGGGAATCCTGAGTGTGATTCTGGGGTCCTGGTGTGGTGCTGTAGGATAAATACTGGACTGCTAACCTAAAGGTCAATAGTTCAAATCCACCAGCCACTCCTTGCAAACCCTATACAGGGCTGCTATGAGTTGGAGGTGTGGTGCTGTGGGTTAATGCGCTGGACTGCAAAGTCGGTTTGAACCACAAGGTCAGTGCTTCAAATTCTCCAGCTGCTCCTCAGAAACTCTATACCAGGTCACTATGAGTCAGAATTGACTTGATGACATTTAACAACAAATGAGTTGGAACCGATGGCACTTAACAATTTCTAGCCTGATTTCTGAGTGCACTACAGTCCCCAGAACACCTGTCCAGGTATCACTAGTCATGCCCCACCCCTCCCACCTGACCCTCCTAGGTCCTGGGGCCCATAGCCAGGCCTCCAGAATTTTGCATTAAGAAGTTGTTAAGGAGGTCCTTCAATTCGTTTCCTGTGGCTCCATCACCAATAACCACAAACTGGGTAGCATAAAGCAACAGGAATGTATTCTTTCACAGTCTGGAGGCTTAAAGTCTGGATTCGGGGTATCAGGAGGACCATGGACCCTCTGAAGATCCTGGGGAAAGATTTTTCCTTGTCTCTTGCAGTTTCTGGCAGGCCCCAGGCATTCCTTGGCTTGTGGCAATATAAGTACTTCCTCACATAATTGTCTTCCCCGGAGCTGTCTCTCTCTGTCTCTTCTCTTTTTATAAGGACACCAATCATAATGGATTAGAACTTACTCTACTCCAGTCTGATCCCAGCTTAATTTAACTAATGACATCTATAAAGACTTTTTATCCAAATAAGGTCAAGATCATGGGTACTGAGGATTAGGACTTGAACATTCTGTTTTGGAGGACACAACTGAACTCATACCAGTCCCGACCCATTCTTTGGCTCCTCCACACAATGGAGACAACTTTGGCACCTTTCTCCCTAACCCCATTATAGCCAAACATGGTGAGACCTTAGCAGGTCCCTGGCCCCTGAAGCCAGCTGAACTCAACCTCTATGGGAGCCTGAGCTGGGCCAGCCCACTGCTGAGATCCTGGGGCCTTTCTAACTCCCCTTCCAGCCTGTGACCTTGTTAGCGGTCATCCAAGTGTGTCATGCTGAGGCCCGGCAGAAGAGACACACCCCATGCAACATGTACAAAGGGCAGACATGGAGGACTGGCTCAGCACCCTTGCTGTCCCACTCATTCAACATGAATGGAGAACCCCCTACCTTACCCTGACAGGAGGAGGGCAAGTGGGCCATGAAAGTGTTGACTTGTGTCCAGTTGTTCTACATTTGCCCTCCCATCAGAACACACCCATCCAGACCCTAAACCTCACTGGAAGTCTCAACATTGTTGTTAAGTTCCATTGAGTAGGTTCTGACCCATAGCGACCTGTAAAGGTTTCTGAGGAGCAGCTGATGAACTTGAACCACCAACCTTGTGGTTCAAATCGACTTTGTAATCCAGCGCATTAATCCACAGAGGCACACCAGGACTCCATATACCAACAGGGAAGGACAAAAAGTCACCATTTTCTACAAAGCAAAGAAAAAAGAAAAGCATTGAGATATATCTGTTGGATAACTAAACTGCAAGTTTATGTATTTAAAACATGAGTTATCTGAAAAATGAATTGGTTTGGTTTGATGGCGGTCACAGCAATGGGAATTTAGGATATATCTCTGCTACCCAGAGAGGTCTTTCTTTCATGGCATTGAAACATGTACAGCTGAACTCTAATCCACAGAGCAAACCAGGCCAACTTCAGGAGATCCAGCATTAGGTAGAAAATGTGTATATAGATCAAATGCACAGGGGAAATAAAAAACAAAACTAAGATAATGAATCCCAAGAAGATCAATATGTGGAAGAAAGAAGGCTGGGAAAAAGGTTCTGGAGGCCAAAGTTGGTAGGTGAGAGCTGACTGGGAATGTTAGTTTCAGTAATTCAACCAATGCAACTAGAACTCCTGCCCCTCAGACAATTCCTGGTGTAGTGCTGTAGGATAAGCACTCAACGGGTTGGCAGTTCCAACCCACAGCTGCTTTCAGAAACCCTATACAGGGTCACTATGAGTGGAAACCGACTCGAGGGCAACAACGACAAGGCAAGTCCTTTATGAACAATCTGTAATCTTCATTAGTAAGGCGGTAAAGGAATACGGGAACTAGTATTCTTATTTTCCCTCCTTGAATCTGGAACACTGAGACTCACAGACACATGCAAGTGTTCAAGAAGTGTTTGTTGAGTGCCCAAAACAGGAGAGAGATAGAGAGAGAACACATATTTTAAGCAACTTAGTAGGAACCAGTCCATACCAGAGCAAAGCAGTAGGATCATGTCAGAGATGTAAGACATCCTCCACAGGAAGGCTGCATGAAAAAATTTCTGGAAGCCCCATCAGCTTTGGGATGGAAAAAGATTCTCAATACAGAAACATGTCTTTCCACCTCTTACCAGACATCCCCTCCCCTGAAATGGGGTTCTCTCCTATAATCAGAATAATGACTTGAATTTGTCTAATGCTTAACTGTTTTACAGGAGTTCTGATTAATTCTCGTATTTTATTCATCCTTACCATCTTGCATATGCTACCTCTTGAAATGGTTGAACAACAACCATTTCCTTTTGGTACAGTGACTCTGTGTATTCCTTCCATCTTCTTTTTATGCTTTCTGCATCATTCAATAATTTGACCAGAGAATCCTTTAATAACAAAAGTCGAGGCTTGAAATTTTTCTTCAGTCCCCTCAACTTCAGAAATGCTGAGCACGTTCTTCCCTTTTAGTTTTCTGACTCTAGATCTTTGCACATTTTGTTGTAATATTTGGCTTTATCTTCTCAAGCTGATCTATTAAATTTTCTGTTCAGTTCTTGTACCTCCTCATTCCTTCCATTTGCTTTAGTACCTCTATGCTGGAGAGCAAGTTTCAGTGTCTCTTCTGACATCCATTTTGACCTTTTTCTTCTTTCTTGTCTTCTTAATGACTTTTTGCTTTCTACCTATTATGATGTGCTTGATGTCATCCCACAACTCTTCTGGTCTTCAGTCTTTAGTGTTTAATGTATCAAATATGTTCTTCAGATGATCTCTAAATTCAGGTGGGATATATTCAAGGTCATATTTTGGCTCTCATGGACTTGTTTTCATTTTCTTCACTGTGCTTATGAGGAATCTGTACATGGACCAAGAGGCAGTTTTTCAAACAGAGCATGGGAACACTGGATGGTTTAAAATTAAGAAAGGTATGTGACAGAGTTGTATTCTTTCACCATACTTATTCAACCTGTATGCTGAGCAAATAATCTGAGAAGCTGGGTTAGATGAAGAAAAACGTGGCATCAGGATTGGAGGAAGACTCATTAACAACCTGTGATATGCAGATGATACAACCTTGCTTGCTGAAAGTGAAGAGGACTTAAAATATTTACTGATGAAGATCAAAGAGCACAGCCTTACGTATGGATTACAACTCAATGTAAAGAAAACAAAATCCTCACCATTGGACCAATAAATAACATTCTTATCAACAGAGAAAAGGTTGAAGTTGTCAAGGATTTTATTCTTCTTGGATCAACTATCAATACTCATGAAAGCAGCAGTCAAGAAATCAAATGACATATTGCATTAGGCAAATCTTCTGCACAAGACCCTTTTAAAGTGTTGAAGAGCAGCATCTCGACCGGCATCATAGCTGCCCTCAGACCCCTGGTGAAGCCCAAGATTGTCAAAAAGAGGACCAAGAAGTTCATTTGGCACCAATCAGATCATTATGTCAAAATTAAGCGTAACTGGCGCAAGCCTAGAGGCATTGACAACAGGGTGCGGAGAAGATGTAAGGGCCAGATCTTAATGCCCAACATTGGTTATGGAAGCAACAAGAAGACAAAACACATGCTGCCCAGTGGCTTTCGCAAGTTCCTGGTCCACAATGTCAAAGAGCTGGAGGTGCTGCTGATGTGCAACAAATGTTACTGTGCAGAGATTGCTCACAACATCTCCTCCAAGAACCGTAACGCTACCGTGGAAAGAGCAGCCCAGCTGGCCATTAGAGTCACCAATCCCAATGCCAGGCTGCACAGCAAAGAAAATGAATAGACAGCCTGTTTTTGAGTTTTATTTGTGCTAAATAAAACCATAAAAGTGCTGCAAAAATAAATAAATAAAATAAAAAATAAAGTGTTGAAGAGCATGTCACCTTGAGGACTAAGGTGCGTCTGACCCAAGCCATGGTATTTTCAATAACCTCATATGCATGCGAAAGCTGGACAGTGAATAAGGAAGACCGTAGAAGAATTGCTGCTTTTGAGTTATGGTGTTGGAGGAGAATATTGAAAGTGCCAATGGGCTGCCAAAAGAACCAACAGATCTGTGTTGGAAGAAGTACAGCCAGAGTGCTCATTGGAGGCCAGGATGGCCAAACTTCGTCTCTCATACTTCGGACATACTGTCAGGAGGGACCAGTCGTTGGAGAAGGATATCATATTTGGTAAAGCGGAGGGTCAGAGAAAAAGAGGAAGAACCCCAGCAAGATGGACTGGCAAAGTGGCAGCATCAGTGGGCTCAAGCATGGCATGAATAGTGAGGTTGGCCCAGGATTGGGCAGTGTTTTGTTCTGCTGTGCATAAGGTTGCTGTGAGTCGGTACTGACTTGATGGCACCTAACAACAACAACCACCTTGCAACGCAAACTGAGGTCTATAGGAACGAGGATAGAGACTCTCAGACAAAAATGGCTTAAGCGCTCTGGAAGCAGATGCTGCAAAGGTCAGTCCCTAACTCCACCAATGTATCTACTTATCTCCCCTTTCTCATCAAAAATGCTTGCTAGGATCCTGATATGGCGCTACAGGATGAGCACTGGACTGCTAACCGCAAGAACCGAGGTTTAATCCCACCAGCCACTCCTTGGAAACCCTATACGGAGTCACTATAAGTCAGAACAGACTTGATGGCAAGTAACAACAGCAACAACAACTGGCCCTGTTGTTAGCTGCCATAGAGTTTGACTCATGACAACGCCACATATAAGAGAAAAAATCCTGTCTGGTGTTGTGCCATCCCCATGACAGGCTATAGGCCACGATTGTTGTGTGCCATAGGTTTTTCATTGACTGAGCTTAAATGGAAGCTGTTAGACACTCTTCAGAATCAGAGCAACATGAAAGTCTCCACCGACAAATGTGGTGCAGAGGCAGGGAACTGAACCCTGATTTCCTGTACAGAAGGGGAGAACTCTATCACGGAACAACCCAATGCCCATAACAGATAGAGTGTTCAAATTCAAGAAAGGACTGACCTTGGGGACATTACAAGACAAAATCATAAACACAAGATCAGATAAGGGCCACAATGGGCACCAGGTCACAGCCAAGTGCCAACCAAACAGAGATGGGAAGAAGCCACCCCAGAGAACAGATCCGAAGCACTTAAATCAGGAAGATTCTCACTGAGGGGTGAAGAAAATCACTAGCCAACAAACACATGGTCTTTTTGTTCATCAGGGATATAGACCGTGCATGCAATTCCAGAAATGTCTGATTTTTTTTTTATTTTTAAAAGGCACATTGGGTTTCTCCCCAGCAGAGCTAGAAACTTCCTGTTACTAGATTGTGTACAGTCAGAAATTCATGTTTCAAATGAAAGATATTTCAGAAGATCTCTTAGCTTACTTACATCTTTTACTCTATTCCTAGGAAATATCATATATTATATATACACACACATATATATATTAACAGACACTGAGTTCTTTCTTTTTAAAAACACCTAATGAATAAATTCACATGTCACCTACTGACCCAGCTCTGGAATTTCTGGGAGTGGCTTCAGAGTGTGAAGTGGAGTCCTAGGCACATCCCTTGTCAGCCAGGCTGGCTCTTTGATTCATTGCTTTAGATTTAGGAAGTGCACACCTACAACACCCTTCTTTAGGTATTCTGTTATTCACAAAATAAAGGAGCTGGTGAAATAATACTAAAGCTACAGCTTATGGTTTTTATACCTATAAGCTTTTAAATCGTGACCATCTAATCATGCAGCAAAGCAGCAATATTTAAACAAAGAATAAAAACATAATGTCTGTCTGTCTGTGTCTGTATGTATATGGGGTAGTTGTTTTGTGCCCTGGAGTCAGTTCTGAATCGGGTTTCTGTATAGGGTTTCTGAGGGTGGGTAGTGGGTTTGAACAGCCAACCTTTCAGTTAGCACCCTTTCAGTTAGTTCATCCTACAGCAACATACCAGGGCTAGTGTATGGGATGTTGTTGTTGTTGTTGTGTGTCATCGAGTCAGTTCTGATTCACAGAGATCCTGTATAGGGTTTCTGAGGAGCTGTGGGAGGGTTTGAATTGCCAATCTTGTGGTTAGCAATCCAGTGCTGATCCTACAGGACGACATGAGGACTCGGTGTATAAGGTCTGGGGGAGTGATATGTACACCTACTGTTGTTGTTAGTTACCAGTGAGTTGACTCAGACTCATGGAGCCCCCATGTGTGCAGAGAACTGCTCCAGGCCTGACTTCTGGGGTTACTTCTAGGTAGGCTGACATCATCAATATTTTAGTTAGTTGTCAAGCGCTTGCTTGCCTGTTTGTGCCACCCGGGGACTCTGTACACAATTAAAATGGGTTCAGAGGATGAAATTAAAATTCCTAATTCAAAGCATTCAAGGTCCTGGATGGCGATGTTGTTATTGTTAAGTGCCGATGAGTCGGTTCTGACCCATAGTGACCCTGTATAGGGTTTCCGAGGAGCAGCTGGTGAATTTGAATCGATCTTGAGGACCAGCGCTTCTCCTACAGGATGATGTGCTACCCATTCATGATTTCAGCCCCATCTCCAGTCACGACGTTTCCCAGCCCCGAGACCCCCAGTCACCAGACACCTTCTACATCATCACTCATCACCATCCTCTTCATCCCTGAGCCCAACCCATGGTGCCACCAGGGGAAGCCCTCCTACTCTCCATATCTCACCTCCGACACCCCAGACCCTCAGCATCCAGCCTGCATCCTATGTTAACATCTGTTTCTTCCTGCAAGCCGTAGAATAGCTGTTTACAACCCTCCCCCTGGTGGATGTAAACTCCTCACAGCCAAACACGGTCCCCATCCTCTGCATCTCAGCCAGTAATGGGGTTCTCAGGGCTCCATGCAGGTTGGCAGTGAGGAGTATGCCCCACACAAGAGCTTCCAATTAGGAATCTGTTTATAAAGTTTGGAGAGAAAACCCGGGGCTTTTGATTCCCAGCAATAATTAATCCTAAGGCGGCATCGCTGGTGAAAAGGCTGGATGTGGGGCACACGGTGTTCCTGTGCTTCCACCCTGTCCTCAGGTCACCTCTGGTGCTGGGCCCTAACCCTTTACACTAATGGAAAACAGAGCAAACAGATTAAACCAGCCTTCACTCAGAAGACTACCATCTGTGCAACTCAGAAAGCGCCTTCTCTGCCCATCCCCTTTGGACAGCGCTAAACAGGCTTAGCCTGCTGTGGGCAAACAGGAAAAGTAGGTCAGCGCAGCAGAGATGTACTTGCCATAGTGATGAACTAATGATGCGAATACACAGCCTGATCGCAGCCAGCCCATGCTGTGGAGAGACGGGCAGGCCACCTTGAGGCCCAGTTCCTCGGGCTCCTCTCAGACCCAGCCTGAGGATGGCAGAGAGGAGAAACCCAGAAAAGCTTGGAGAAACAGATTAAAAATACAAAAACAAAACATCAAAAAACTGCAGAAAAAAGAAGAAAGTAGATAAACACCCACTGCCATTTCCCTGTAATTAAAGACAAATCAATTGGTATCGATGTTGTTTTGCTCTACAGGGTTTCCAAGGAGCAGCTGGTGGGTTTGAACTGCCAACCTTGTGGTTCCCAGCCCAATACCAATCCTATAGCGCCATTTGTGTCGTCGTCGTTGTTGTTAAGTGCCATCGAGTTGGTTCCAACTCAGAGGCCCTGTGTAGGGTTTCCAAGGAGCAGTTGGTGAATTTGAACCACAGACCTTGTGGTTTAAACTGACCATACAGTCCAGTGTTTATCCTACAGCACCATGCCAATGCTCCATTTGTATATGATGGTGGTGGTGGTACGCCGTGAAGTCGGTTCTGACTCATAGCAACCCTGTACAGGGTTTCCGAGGCTGTAAATCTTTATGGGCACAGAAAGGCTGGTGAGCTCAAACAGTTAGCATTCCTGTACTTAAATTCTGTACTAAAATTCCAAATTTTAGTTGCTGTAAGTTAGAATTGACTTCATGACTCCCAACCACAACACACACACACAGCCCCAACTCCTAGTGGTCACTGGTTACTAATAACTAGGCATACACTGAGAACAAGGGCAGACTGGAATCAGCAGTGCCCAGGGCCAGCTGGCTAGGCCTCATGCTGCTTCGTCTCTTCCCATGTTCATCTGGGCTACAGCTGCCCAGACAGACAGACCTTCCCTAGGGCCTCTCTGGCTCAGAAGCTGGACAAAGCACCAGATACTTTGAGGAAAATTCCCCTGAGACGCAGAGCTTTGGGCTCTTCTAATCCCAGCAGTGGCTCACTCTGATCTAACCTACTTCCAGTAGCTGGTGCCTAAATTCAGGTCATGCCAAGAGGACCTACGACAAACCTAGAGGCTGATGCTGGATGTCCAGGGGCTGGGTGCTACTCCCCAGGGCTCCTAGGAAGAACAGAACCCCTGGTTTACCCCAGCCCAATCAGCTTAATCGGTGTCCCTGGAGTAGAGGTAAACGGGAGTTAAGTTGGGGAATCTAGTGAAGTTTTCCAGGGGTCCATGATGGAACCTGTGAATGCAGATATGTGCATTATTTTTAGAGGCCTTTCTTCTAAAATGTTGTGCATGGCTTCCTCTTTGGAGTCCTTAGGTGGCACAAATGGTTAAACACTTGACTACTGCCCAAAAGATTGGTGGTTCGAATCTACACAGAAGCTTTTCGAAAAACAGGCCTGGAATTCCGTTTCCAAAACGTCACAGCCTTGAAAACCCTACAGAGCAGTTCTACTGTGCACACACAGAGTCACCGTAAGTTTGAATCAACTCAATAGTTGTTGTTGTTAATGTTGTCAATTGCCATTAAGTCGGGTCCCAC